GGCTCTGAGGAAAGACTGGAAGACGCTGATCAAATAAATCAATATCATTTTCAATGACGGCAGACAAATTTCTAACTTGTTCGATTCGCAGCAAGTCCAACGAACCCCTTCCAGATTCAGATAGCCGTCGAAGAAAATGGACCGAACACTGAAGAGCTCCTAAACTGGCCCACTCCAGTGGATGACTCTGAAATAGAGTTCGAAGACTGGGAAGAACTGGAAGTTGAGTGCTCTGTTCCACTGAAAGATGATATCCAAGATACCACACGTCTCAGCCGAAGTTCGAAATCCCGCTGACACGACAAGATTGGTGCGGAAATTCTGAAATGCCCAGACGAAACCCTACTAAACTAGACCCATCTGGTTTTTGACAGCGTCTGGCGGAAGTCGGAAATCCCTAAGAACTGGAAGCAAGGCGTGAGTTCTCATATTCAAAAGTTGGAATCGACCTGGCTGCACCAACTACCGCCGATCGCGCAACTGTCCGTGCTGGAAAAAGTAACCGTGAAAAATCCTATTCCGAAGACTGAAGAACGCAGTTGACGATTACCTTCGATCAAATCAAACAGGGTTTCGAACTGAACTCTCATGCACGGATAACATCGCCATACTGAAGAAGGTAACAGAACAGGGAAGGAGCTTCCAACTACCCTAGGATGCAGCATTCCTGACTTTCGAGGAGTTTTCGGCTCAGTACATCGTCACTCCTTGTGGCACATATTACGACACCATGGGGTACCGCCGAAGATTATCGGCCTTCTGAAAGGACTGTACGAAAGTACTAAAGGCGCCATTAGAGCAGAAAAATCGTTGTCGTACTGGTTTGATATTAACACTGGAGTCTGCCAGAGGTGGAGAGGTGCTCTGATCTCTATTATATCTATTATTACAGTGGTGGGTTCTGTGAGGGGGAGAAGCGTTGTCCCCAACAACAGCAATGGATTTACAATCAGACTACGACTCAGCCGAAGGTACCCAGTAGTGCTAAAACAGAACCCAAATACGCTAACGACACTGTATTGCTGAGCGACTCCGTTAATGGCTTACTGACACTAACTCGACAAGTGTGCATTGTGGCCTCGACGGTAGGCTTAGTAGTTAACCCCGCAAAAACGAAGATCTTGCGAGCACTCGACTCGACTAACGACCCAAAGATTCAAAGGA